TATGCAGTTGAACTAGTGAATGACAGCCTGTACGATTGGAACGTCAAACTCCTGAAGTAGGTGTTCCAACTTGGGATTGTGCAGTTGTGGCGGGTCTTGGTGGTGGGACCAGAAGGTCAGCGTGGGCAGGACAGGGCAGCACCCAGCAGTTCTTGGGTCAGCCTCTCTCAGGCAGCTGGCTGAGAGAAGGGGGTGATACCGCCAGGGAAAGGCGAGGTAATGTGAGGGCTCTGCAAGTCTCTGCTGTTCCTAGAGTCCGAAAAGAGGTGCATCAGGCAAACCCTGAGCTTTCACACCCTCCAGACACCAGTGCTGCCTTTTCCTTGGGCGAGGCAGTCTTTATTTTTAAGCTGGCAGCTGCAGAAGGGGTGTGATGGTCGTCTCTGCAGAGCAGGAGCAGAGTTCTGGCAGCCCGTGCTGCCACTGCCCCAGGTGAGGGCACAAGGTGACTGACCCTCTGGGACGTTCCTGCCGCAGGGTTGACGAGGACAGCGCTTTGCACAATGATCTCCAGATTCTCAAAGAGAAAGAAGGAACAGATTTCATCCTCCTCAACTTCTCCTTTAAAGTAAGGCTCCCCCCTCATGAAGAGGCGCTTGCCTGGGCAAGGCATCGGAGAGCACCTTTCTCAGTGGCTTTGCTTCCCCCCTCTCATTCCAGGACAACTTTCCTTTTGATCCACCGTTCGTAAGGGTCGTGTCCCCAGTGCTGTCAGGGGGGTGAGTAACCACCTGCCTCTCTCTGCTCTGCAGAGCTGCTTCCTGCAGCAGCTTTCACTGGCTTTATCCAGCACCGTGACCTCCCTGACATGGGTTTGCTGTTGGGAAGCACGGGCAGGGATGGTGTTTTTTTTTTTTTTAGTGTATTTTTTTCCATCTGAGATCTAATCAGAGATGTTTCACCTCTGGAGCGGTGGGTGGGTGGGTGCGGCTGTATCTGTTTCTGCAGTGATTTTGTCCGATTCCTTCCCCAGGTACGTTCTGGGTGGCGGTGCCATCTGCATGGAGCTGCTCACCAAACAGGTGGGTTCTGGTCCCTGCAGGGGCTGGGGGGGCTGTTCCTGCCGGGTCCTGCGGTGCTGGCACAGCTGGGGGAGGCTGTTGGGCTGTGTTGGGCACAGCCCTGGGGTGGGTTTGGCCTCAGCCCTGTTGGTCCCCCAGGGCTGGAGCAGCGCCTACTCCATCGAGTCGGTGATCATGCAGATCAGCGCGACACTGGTGAAAGGGAAAGCACGAGTACAGTTCGGAGCCAACAAGGTAAGTGAGGCCTGGCTGGTGCAGGAGAACGGTGGCTGGAAGGGGAGAGGCTGATGGAGGCACAGCCAACTTTGCCTATGGGATAGCTCGCCCGAGGTTCCCACTGGACTGATTGTCTCTCTGCCTTCCACTGCAGAACCAGTACAGCCTGACAAGAGCACAGCAGTCCTACAAGTCCCTGGTTCAGATCCATGAGAAGAATGGTAAGGGCTGAGGGAGGGGGCCTGTGTTTCCCCTTGCTCATTTAAGCTCCCCGGATGAGCCGCTTGAGTTTTACCCCGCTCCAGGCGTGGAGGTGACCTGGAGACGGGAGCAGCTGCTGGAATGCAGGGCGTGGGTACAGCTGCTGCCCTCCCCGACATCCAGAGCTGTGTTCCTGCAGCTGTAACTAGAGGCAGCACCTCACTGAATGCTTGGACTTGATGATTTGAGAGGTCTTTTCCAACCTAAACAATTCTGTGATTGTCTGTGTGGTGTTGGGAGGTAACCCAGAGGGAAAGCCTCCCACTAATCAGGGAGACGTGGCCTTTTGGAAGTGGAAAAGCAGCTTTTCCAGGCACAGATTCCCACTGCCCATGCAGCTTCTTCCCTCACAGATCTCTCTCCTCGTTCCAGGCTGGTACACACCACCCAAGGAGGATGGCTAGTGCAGATGCTGCAGGACCAATCTGTTTATCTTCTGGATGCTCTACTTGGATCTTACTGATGCCTCTTGGCTTTCTCCCAGGATGTAATAGCTCTGCCTGTTGCAGGACAATACTGGCTGTTCAAAACTCTAAATAAAACTGTTTAAGGAGTTGGACTGACCCAGAACACTTGCTGGGCCCATGCTAGCAGGCATTCTTGTTAAAACAAACTCGAGCCTCTTGTATCGCTGGAAACTTTTGACTCTACTCCAGTCTAGAGCGTCCTCCTTACCTATGCTATGGATTTAATTTATTTTCTTATTTCATGTACACTGCTTTTTTTTGTTACAGTGTATGATGGATGTGTATGGAAAATGTATCTTTGGAGAAAAATTACAGTTTGTTAATTTGAGAACGCTGGTCTAACTCATTCTTTCCAAGCTGCTGCTGGGTGGGTTGTGCCCTAAGAACTCTGCTGCAGCCCTGGTCCCAGGGTGGGGAGATGGATGGAGCCACAGTGAGCCCAAGCCCTGCAGGAGCGGCTGGAGCAGCTGCCTTGGAAGAAGAAAAGCCCCTCTCTCCCCTTGGCCAAACCCGTCTCTTCATAAACTGCCAGCTCGGAACTCCAAGCACAGAGGGGGGATCTGAGCCTGTCCTCTGCCAGGCAGTGGATGTGGTTTGTGGGTGCAGCCCAGCTCCCACCCCACACTTCTCTGTGCTCTTGCCCAGCAGTGAGATGAGCAAAGGCCCAGCCAGGCCCAGCCCGGAGCTGGAGCCCTCTGTCCTCTTTCTCCCTGCTAACCATGGGCGGGGGGGCTGAGTCCCTCATCCCAGTCCCTGCTGTGCTGTGGATGCAAAAACTGCTGCAGGGAGGGGAGTGTGGGCACTGCTCCTGACCAGGACGTGCTCTGACAGCGAGCACCTCATTCTATGGTTCATTTTACTTTCCCTCCTCGAGCTCTTGCTCCTTGGTGCTCCAGCCCTCCATGGATGGTGTTGCTGCATTTGTGGCCTGTTGCCTCGAATCTCCCCAGCTCTAAGTCTGCTGGAAGGAGATTTGGTGTCAGAGCTCCTCTAACTTGGGCTGTGTCCTCGGCTGGAGGGCAGAGCTGATGCACTAGTGTCAAAGCTGGGACCATGGGTATTAATTCACTGTGTTTAAATAAAAGTTATTAGAAAATCAAAGGGCCTCAGAACTCCATTATCTACTTCAGCAGCTGGTCCCCTGTCCTGCTCGAACCCTGGAAATAAAAGAGATGCTGTAGGAGGGGGATTACTGATGGCTGACATCAGCTGGGGACTATCTTTAAGTGCTTTGTTGAAGGACCCAAGGGTTTGTGATGCTGAGCAGCTCTGCCTTGTGTCCTTCTCCACCCCAGACCACCTCTGCTCCTCTCTGTAGCTCAGGAACCTTCTGGGGAGAGTGTTAAGCTGGTTTAATGATGGTGTAAAACATTTGGGGGGGGAGGGGGTTCTCTTTGGTGAGGTGGGGGCTACTCTGCTAAGCCTGGCATCGGGTTGGGATTGGGTGCTCTGAGTTGGCTGAGTTGGCTCATGGGCACATGCTCCCAAATCCTGACAGCTTTCCAGGCTGGGATGAGCAGAACTAAGAGGGCCCCGCAGGACCTTCTCTGTCAGTGGAACGCTGACCTGGCAGGCGTCGGGGCTGGAGGCACAGCAGGAGCAGCCTGAGCTGGCATCTGGCAGGTGACTGCTGGTCCCGTTTGTTTGCACCTGCCTGTCCCACTCCAAGCTGGGCTTGGCGCTCGTCACCACCGCGGTGGCTCAGCGCTTGTTTTGTGCATGGCGGTGCCATCTGTCACCACTGCCAAAGGCGGTCCCAAAGCCTTCCCCTGCAGGAGCTGGCAGAGGACAAGGACGCGGGGGAGACTTCCCAGAGGAGACGCGTGGGTGGCACCGCGGCACCAAACCACCGAGGGGGTGCTGTGTGTCTGTCCTGCTGAGGCCCTGCAAGTGACTGAGGGAGACTTAAGCCTGCCAAGGAAAGAAAAGGAACCGGCACCCAAGGGAAGCAGAGTTTTTCTTGAGTTCGAGAAGGCGAAGCTGGAGCCGGCTGAGATCCCACTGGCAGTTTTGGGTGCCAGCCCGTCCCTGCGAGGCACATCCTGCCCAGCAAGGAAACTGCTACCGCTTCCTACGGCAGTGCCAGCACCCAGCACCTCCCTGCACCGGGACGTGGGCAGAACGGTGCTGGCTGGGGTCAGTTCTCCCAGTGATCCCTCGCAGAGAACCCTCCCCGGGGAGAGGGGAAGGAGACAGGGAGGAGGCAGCTGGTCTGTTCTCCAGCTCCTGCAAGGAAGAGAAGCCTGTGTCCTGATCCTAAACTCCCACCCTGGGGACTTGGGGAGCAATTTTACCTGCAAAACCCCCTCCCCATTCCGTGTTGTTGCAAAGGGATGGGTAAGCGCCCCGCGGCGCTGCGCGGTCCGGCAGGAAGCCAAACCGCTGGGCTCAGCTGGGATTTTCCGGCAAGGTGTCAGCACAGATCTTGGCTGGTGTGGTGTGAACTGCGGCTGCGGCAGCAGAGAGTGCGTTGGCGCTGTGCTTGTGACCCGTCAGGCTGTGCACAAGGTCCTTGTACAGGGGACTGTGCACAGTCTTCATCCATAGGGTCCATAGGATCCATGCCCAGGCTTAATCCATAGCGCCCACACTCAGGTCCCATCCATAACGCCCATAAATTCCATCCATAAGGTCCATTGGGTCCATGCGCGGGCTCCACCCGTAGGATCCACGCCCAGGGGCTGCGCAGGGGGCCTGAGCACGGAAGTCTGGGCTGTCCGTGGGGTCTCTGTGCGAGGATCCGCACGCGGTGTCCGTCAGTCGATTCCATGTGCAGTTCCTCTCCCATTAGCCGGGCAGGGTCCCGCAGTCTCCCAGCCCCGTCGGGACGGCTCCCCCCACCGAAGCTGCCCTGCCTTCCCACGACTCCCCGTGTCCGCCGGGGCCGCGACCGCCTGCCCGGCCGGTGCCTTGCTGTTCCCCGGGGCCGCCCCCTCCGGATCTGGGCGGGGAGCGCCGGCCCCGCCACCCCCTCCGGCCCCTCCGGCCCCGGCCCGTCTCGGCCCGGCCCGTCGCCACCGCATGGGGCCCCCCGGGCCGGCCTGACCCCTCGCCGAAGCCCCTTTCCCCTCGGAGACAGGCCCCGCCGAGGAGCCGCGACGGGACCCACCGGCTGCCCGGACCCTTCGGAGCACGGAGAGACCCCCCCGGGCCCCATCCCCGCGGGCAGGCGACCCCCAGAGCGGCCCCGGGACTGCCCCGGCCCGACCCCCTCGACCCCCCGACTCGACCCATTGCTGGAGCAGAGAGCCCGACCCCTCCCGGAGCCCTTCCGAGGGGCGAGGGACCCCCGAGGGGACGCGGCCCCTTCCCCGGGCCACGGGAGTCGGCACCCCTGGGACCCACCGGCTGTCCCCGCGGGGGCGAAGGACGCCTGGAGCCCCCTACGAAGGCCCCGGCCCCCCGGCCCTCGTCCCCCGTCCCGGGCTGGCCCCCGGCCGCAGAGGATCCCTTTTCCGGGACTGGGGGCACCCGGGCTGCCCAGTGCCCCCCGGCTGAGCCGGCCCTGAGCCGGCGGGGTGGCCGTGGGGTGTCGAGGAGCCCCGGGGGGGCTTCGGCACCCTGCACCTCCCCGGCCCCATGGCGGCCAAGTGGTTCAAGGAGTTCCCATCCAACCTGAAGACGGTTTCGGAGAGGGCTCGGCCGAGCAGCGGGAGCCTCGGGAAGAGCCGCAAGAATTCAACCGCTGAGCTCGGGGGCTGCCGGGCGGCAGGGGGTGGCAAGGAAGGGGGTAGTCGGCTGTCACGGGACAACCTGCAGGGTCTGCTCCAGGCCGCCACTGGGAAGATGAGGAAGAACTCTCGAGCGGAGGGGGGCACAGCGGAGGGACCCCCCAAAACCTGCGGTACCTACATCAACCGCCTCATCAAGGTGGAGGCTCCTGAGAAGAACGGGAAGGGGTACCCCGGCCCCTTGCCTGCTGGCCTGCCTGCCCCCGAGCAGGACAAGGGAAAGACCCCCAAGACAGAGACGGTAAGGCAGGGAGCGAGGCGGGGAGGGGGAGGGCACTGCGGGGAGTCCGCAGCACTGGCAGCTTTAACCGCGTTGGGCTTCTGACTCATTAGCCCGCTGACTCCGGCCTTTCATCCCACTCGGCTCCACTGTTTTCAAATCCCTTCAAAGCTGCCTTCATCCCAACTGCCCTTCATCAGCCAGGCAAGGGTGAGGGTGACAGAGGTCTCTGGGCCCCCTCGCTACGTCCCGTGTGTCCCATCCTGCCCTGACCCCAGCGCTCTGCTGGTTGAACAAAGGCTGATGTAAAGCTTTTCTGGGAAGCCGGACTTTCACCCCTGCACAGCCTTTGGGGGACTGGGAGCTGGTTGTGGGGGGGAGGGGGCGTTGCTGTCGCACAAAAGGGTCCCAGAGTTCCCCCCCAGGCTCCTCCCCACTGCCGAGGTGCACAGGGGTGGACACTGCCCCCACCCAAAGGTGCCACTGGGTGCACCCTCCTGGGGTTGTGGCATGGCTCCATTTACCCCAGATGAGCCGCCACCCTCCCCTGGGGACCCCGGTGCCCTGTTCCCAGCTCTGTGTCACTGTCATCCCTGCCACCCCTGCTGGGACCCCTGCCAACGCCCCGAGGCCAGCAGTGCCTGTCCCCTCCCCAGGTCATCATCCTGGAGGACTACGCCGACCCCTACGATGCCAAGCGCACCAAGGGGCAGCGGGACGCCGAGCGCCTGGGGGAGAACGACGGGTACATGGAACCCTACGACGCCCAGCAGATGATCACAGGTACGTGCCACGTCGAGCTGGGCCTCGGCACCGCAGCGGGCACCGCTCCCCGGCCGAGAGCGCACAGCAGCCCTCCGAGCCACCCGGCGCGGGAGGCTTCAGGAACAGGAAAGCTGCTCGCCGCTTCCTGCGGCTGCGTGGGGCCAGATAAGGAGTGGGAGCAAGGCCGGACGCTGACCTGTGCCCGCTGGCCCCCTGACCGCTGCCACGACCCGCTGCCACCGCCTGACGGATGTGTATGGCTGGTGCAAAGCCCTCAGTGCCCCCCACTCATCCCAGGGTGGGGGTACCGCCCCCGAGACTCCCCCGTGGCCGTGCCCCCCATTTGGCGACCCCCCAGGCCGGCGTGGCGACTGTCCAGCTGGCCACAACAACAGGAACTGACTGGGCCGGAAGCTGGAAATAAAAGATTTGCTGCTGATGGTTTTTTTCCGTGCGGGGCAGCCCAGACTGTTTGGCGGAGACCGGCGCCGTGGGGAGAAGCGGGGGGCCAGGAGGGGCGAGCCCCCCGGGGTGGCCTCCTGCACGGCCGGGCTCCAGCCTGGGGTGTAGCATCCTGCCCCTGCAGGGCCCAGCTGGCCCCACCACCCTGGGGTTGTGCCTGTGGCGCCAGGGCCGCGACAGCAGACCAGGCACCGTGAGGATGGGCCCCTTCCTGCTCCTGCTCCTCCCAAGCTGGTTCCCGATGGGGCATTCCCAGTATGGGGTTCCCCCCCCCCCCCCCGTGCACATCCCTCCCCAAGGGCTGGTATTGGGAGTGGGGGGTCTCAGGGGACACATCCTGACCCACCATCCCTCTTCCCCACAGAAATCCGTCGTCGGGGTTCCAAGGACCCCCTGGTCAAAGCCATCCTGCTGCTGGACGGTCCTGGCGAGTCCGGGGACGGGGGTGCCAAACTGGAGCCAGCCAAGTGGCCGGGGGGCAAGGAGGTGGCAGGGAAGGGGCCACAGCTCTACGACACCCCCTATGAGCCTGGGGAGGGGGTGGCTGGGGGGACCCCCGAGCGCAGGGTGAGGGCCAGTGACGGGCGCCTGCCCGAGAACGACGAGCGCCCTGCCGGAGAGTACGAGCAGCCCTGGGAGTGGAAGAAGGAGCAGATTGTCAAAGCACTGTCAGGTAGGGGAACAGGCATGGGATGGGAATGGGGATGACAAAAAGGGATGGGGATGGGGACAGACCTTCTAGCAGGGCTTGACATGATAGGACAAGAGGGGATGGTTTTAAACTGTAAGGGGCAACTCAGATTAGACATAAGAAGGTTTTTGTGCTGAGGAGGCTGGTGAGGCAGTGGCACAGGTTGCCCAGAGAGGCAGTAGATGCCTGCAAGGTCAGGTTGGATGGGGCTCTGAGCAACCAGATGTAGCTGAAAATGTCCCTTTTCATGGGGCTGGACCAGATGGGAACAGGTACATGGATGGAGAAGGGGATGGAACCGGGGCTGGGGGAGGTGCTGGGGCTGGGGATAAGGACAGAGCTGGCTTAGAAGGGGTTTTGGAGGCTCACATCTCATCCTCCCCAGTCCAGTTCGAGGGCTCAGAGCGTCCCAAGGAGGAGACGCTGCGGCAGCACCTACGCCAGAAGAGCTGGACCTCCAAGATGCTGAAGCCGGCGGGGGCCGAGCACAGCGAGGGGGAGAGGGTGGACCCCGCCCTGGCACTGGAGAAACAGCCGTGAGTGAGAAACGGGGGGCGAGGGGGGTGGGGTGCCCAGGGCTTTGCCATGGCTCAGCATCCCGTCCCCCGTGTCCCCCACAGCTGGTACCACGGGGCCATCACGCGGGCTGAGGCGGAGAGCCGGCTGCAGACGTGCCGGGAGGCGGGGTACCTGGTGCGCACCAGCGAGACCGGCAGCGGCAAGTACTCCATCGCGCTCAAGTGAGTGTCAGGGTGGCCTCAGAGCTGGGGGGGTCCCGGCCCCGGGAGGGGTGGGGGGGTATCCCGTCCTGGGAGGATGCGGCGAGGGGTCTCACCCTGGGGGATGCTGCGTCAGGAGCCCCCCCCCCCCCACTGGTTGCTCACACCCGAGCCCGATGGGGAGGGAGCACCCAGATCCCATGGGATGGCACCCCCCAGACCCACGAGGGGACCCCAGGCATCCTGGTGTGGCACTGGGGTGGGGGGCGGGGGGGTGGCGCGTACCCCTCCCCGGCACATTGTCAGGAGCGCCAGTGGCGTTTCCTTCCTGGGGAAGCGGAGCCCCTGGAGCTGAAACAATCAGAGCAGGACGGGAACAAACAGGGGTGGATGCGGCCGCGGGGCAGGCGGGCGCCGGGGGGCCGGCGGCAAAGCTGATGCCCGCTGGCCGCCCAGGACCAGCCAGGGCTGCGTCCACATCATCGTGGCCCAGACCAAGGACAACAAGTACACGCTCAGCCAGGCCAGCGGCGTCTTCGCCAGCATCCCTGAGGTCGTGCACTACTACTCCACCGAGAAGCTGCCCTTCAAGGGGGCCGAGCACATGGCCCTGCTGCACCCTGTCCACTGCAAGCTGCATTAGTGCCCGCTGATGCCTCCCCAGACTGGTCTGCGACCCCCACCCCTGCTGCACGGGGCAGGCCTGGCCACGGAGATGGCCGTGTGCCACGGGGAGGGTCCGGCCACGGGGATGGCCACGTGCCACGGGGAGTGTCCAGCGGGAGCCCCTCTGTCACGCCATGACCTCGATGCCGGACTCCAGCAGGGCTGTCAGGATTTTGCCAGGACGAGTCCTGACCCCCCTGTGCCAGAGCTGACAGGCCAGGGGGCTGCCCAGGGTGGGGGAACGCAGCGAGACTGGGACGTGTAACGACGTAGTAAAATAAACTCGTTGGCTGAGAAAGGCCAGTGGTCCTGGAGGGCTGGGATGGGGCTCGTGCCAGCAGAAGTCGCCACAGTTTCGGGGGCCAGGGGTACTGGGGCTCCCCCAGCCACACATTTGCATCCTGCCAGGCTTTTTATAGCAGGGGGCCGGTGGAGGGGAAGGGGAACGCTGTCCCCAGGGCGCCTGAACACCCGCTCCCCTCACCCTGCGGTTTCCTGCCTGGGTGCAGCTGCAGCTCCCTGGGGCGTTGCACAACCCAGTGTGGGGTGGGCACTGCACAGAAGAGGGGGCACGGCCTGGGCGTTCATGGCATGGGGTTTGTGGTGCGGGGGGTGCACAGCACAGGGGGTACAGCCTGGGAGGCACTGGCAGTACAGGGAGCAGGCTGTGGGGGACACGGTGCAGTTGGGGGGCACAGCAAGGCAGAAGGTGCATGGACTGGGGCTACACAGCCCCCTCTCAGCCCTCCACACTGGAGTGACTCCCAGGCAGGGCGGGGCTGCAGTGATCCCTCCATTACTCCCTCCCACAGCATCCATTCCGGTACAAATCCAAAGCATTTATTGGAGCCAAGTTGTCTTATTTCCCCAACACATGCTTTAAAAAGGAGCCCCGGGGGGGTACCAGAGCAGAGGTATGGGGCTGATCCAGCCAGACCCCCCCCTCCCTCCCTGACCCCCGTAGCACTGCAGGGATCAGGCCCTTCCCTTGGGATCCCCAAAGCTGACCCCGGGCCGGCTCTCACGCTCCGGCACAGCCGTGTCTCCAGTGCTGCCACCTCTGGCCATCCCAGCTTGGCCATGGCCCTGAAGGTGCCCTCCAGGACCCAGTTTGGGGCTCCCTCCCAGCTGCTCCTCCATGGGGGTGGCACTGATTCCCCTCCTCAGAGGGTGTCCCCAGCCACAGAACCACTGGATAGAGGGGGGAGCTGCTCCCAGAGCCACATCACAGTCCTGGGAACCCTGGGGCAAGCGGGCCCCACCTGCCCCCCAAGCACCTGCCAGCACATTCAGCCTCTTGCTACTGCCTTGAGGAGGAACAGTCCACGAGGGTGACATGGAGCGTTCCAGGGGCCGTGGGGGTGTGGCAGGAGAGCAGGGGGGTGTCACTGAGTGGGGGACTAGGGAGGCCCAGGGGGACCAGCACATGCTGCCCCTCACCCTCCGGCTTGGTCCCCCGCTGCCTGCCTGTCCACCACATCTGCCTGTACCTGCAAGGGCAGAGAGTCTGGGTCAGGGAGGGCAGACAGAGAGCCCCCTGGCCAGGCACCCCCCCCCAGCACTCACCTCACCACGATGCCAACAAAGAGGGCAATGCCCAGGAGCAGGCTCCCCCCGGCCACCAGGAAGGCATAGGGCGATGACATGGGGTGGGCACTGGGTTCCATGACAGACCCTGACACAGAGAGAATGGATGGGCTCATTGTGTGGACGGGGGACCTGGGTGTCCCAGCCCCCCAACCCCCAACCCAGGAACCCCTCCTCACCACCAGCACCATCAGCACGGTCCTCCCAGAAGAGCTCCGGGGGCAGCGTCACCTCATAGTTATCATCGTCCGTGGGGAACTGCAAAAGAAAGCAGGGGTGCACAGTGGGATGGGGCAGCCCCCACGCCCTGGGTGTCCCCTTGTCCCACGTGGGGACAGGAGTATGTGGTAGTCCCCAGGGCTGGGGCCATCCCACCTGCGAGCTGAAAGGTCCCATTTCAGAGGTGAGGTCCCTGGGGTCTGCAAGATGAGGGGGGAGCATGAGGCTGGGGGACCCCCCACAGACCCCCCCACCCTCAGGGCCCCGTGTCCCACTCATACCTGTCCAAGGGGTGCCCACAGCCTCCCGGCTCCACTCACTCCATGAGCCGTGGCCGAACTCATCCTGCGCCCTCACCTGCACCACGTGCTTCGTCCCCCGCCACGCGTCGCGGATGTCCAGCCACGTTGTCGTCACCTGATCCACCTGGAGGGGACACAGGGCTGGGGACAGCCTGGACAGGGACCGGCAACAGCTGCATTCCAGGGAGCGGGCTCTCACCTCCATGAAGGCTGGGGCAGGCTCGGGGCGGTAGCGGACCTGGAAGCGGAGCCAGTAGAAACGGGGGTCCCAGGACGAGGGGTAGGACCAGTTGACCCGCAGCCACTGAGGTGCCTTCTCCAGCGCCTCCACCGTCACATTGAGGGGGGGATCAGGCTTCACTGCTGGGGAAGGGGTGGCTCAGGGCCTGGCACTGTGCCCTTGGCCACCCCAGCCCCCAGTAAGAGGGGCAGCACTCACGGACACCGCTGAGGGTGATGATCTTGTCTTCGCCGGCCAAGCCGCTGGCGCTGCTGCTGACACACGTGGACACCACGAGGTGTTTGGTGTCCTCGGTGCCAGGTGGCACCTTCACCCGGCAAACGAACTTCCGTGCCTTGGAGAAGTAGCGGCACCGCTGCTCTGTGGCGTTCTCAGCCGTGAACCTGTGGGGCCACAGCTCAGTGGGGGCTGCAGCACGCACCAAACCAGGCACGGGGCAGCTGGGGGGCACACATCCTGTGCTGGGGGGTCCCAGGCAGCACAGGGGAAAGGGTCTGTGGGGAAGGAAATGTTCCGTGTCATGGGGTCCCAGGCAGTATGGGGGAAAGAGTCAGTGGGGAAAAAACACATCCCATGCTGTGGGGTCCCAGATCCCAGGAGCTGTTAGGGAAAGGATTTGCAGGGAGGGAAGCATCTTGAGCTGTAGCCTCCCAGATGGCACCGGGGGAAGGGTCCAGTGACACGTTCTGTGCCGTGGGGTCCCAGTGGCACAGTGGACACAGTGACAGTGGCTCACCTCCGCTTCACCCAGAGCACTGCCCGTGTCCCCGGGGACGGCTTCGTCTGCTGCGGCCACTCACAAATGACATCCTTGTCGTGGCTCCGCCGGTAGCAGGACACTCGGGGGGTTTCGGGGGGCTCTGCAAGGCAAGGAGGTGCTGAAGGACAGGGCCCATAGTGGGCAATCCTGCCAGGGACTTCCCTTACCCCGGCAAGGACCCACCTTCCACCAGCAGCCGCAGGGAGCGCAGCGGGCGGCTCCCCACGGAGCAGACGTAGCGCCCCGAGTCCTCGTAGCGCAGTCGCTGCAGGAGCAGCACGTTGCCCTCCCCCAGCCGTCGCCCACGGCCCCCCGGCACTGCTGCTCCCCGCTCCTCCACCTGCCACCACACCGACACATTTGTGGGCACCTCGTCCCCGCAGGTCAAAGTGATGTTGGCTCCCAGGCGGCCCAAAACCACGTTCCGTGACAGTCCTGTGGGGGCAAGAGGGGGTCAGGTGATGAAGAGGAGACCTCGGGTGCAGTGAGTGTCCCGAGATGAGGGGGGCTCCCCACGTCCAGTGGCTGCTTGGGGTCAAGGCACTGAGCTGGAGAGAATGGCAGCGGTTCCCCACGGAGTGGGGCACTCAGAGCCGTAGGGGTGGGCACGGCAGCACCAGACGGGGTGTGTATTGAGGGGTCTGGCGGTGGAGAGCACGGCTCGGGGAGGGGGCAGACTGGGGCGGGTGGTGCCGGAGGGGTTAAGCGGCAGCGCTGGCTGGCGGCCCCAGTGAGGCCTGGGCTCCCTCCAAAGGTCAACGGCCGGCATGGACCTGCTGTTCCCTTTGGCTCCTGCTTCTGGGAACGCACCCTGTACCCAGGACACAGCACCCACGACGCACCACACAGCACCCAGCACCCAGGACACGGCACTCAGGACACAGTCCCCAGTCCCAGCACCCACCTTAACCCTCCTCTCCAGCACCCCCAGGGGTGCCCGGTATCCCCACCCGCCAGGCTCCTGCGGGGCAGGCAGGGAACCCGCGTGTGTCTCCTCGCCGTGTCCGGACCCGCGGGGCGCCGGTACCCGGAGGGGCTCGGGTTCCCCACCCCCTTCCCCGGCCCCGCATGGTGCCGGTCGCACTCACCGGAGGGGCCGCAGGGCCGCCCGGCGGCCGCGAACGGGAGGAAGAGGAGGAGGAGGAGGAGGAGGCGGGGGAGGAGGAGCGGCCCCGGCGGCCGCGCCATGCGCCCGGTCCCGGGCAGAGAAACATCGGCGGGGCCGGCGGTGCCCGCGGTTGTGAAACCGGGCGGAGGGGCGGGGGCGGCACGTGCGCCCCGGGGGGCGGGGACAGCGGCACCGGGGGGCGGACCGAGCCGCCACCGCCCCCTCCCACCCCCGGATCCCCCCGGACACAGCACACGCGGCAGAAGCTGCTCAGAATAATATTTTATTTTTTAAATAAAAAAAAGCTGGTTTTTGGTTCTTTTTTTTTTTTTTTTTTTTTTCCTCAGTGGAGCCATAAAACGATACAATTCCGCCAAACAGAAACGAGTAATAAATTATCCACCCCTCCACCGAAATAACCCCAAACAGCCCGTAAACCAACTCCAGCCCTCACCAACACCCGTCTCAACAGGCTCATCTTTGGCATTGCGTCCCCGGGACCCCAACACTCCCGGAGACCCCGGGGGATCCCCCAGTGCCCACCCACACCCCAGGAGCGCTCAGTCCCGCGGGAGCTGGCGAGGAGGAGGGAGGAAGCAGAGGCCGAGGGTTGCGCAAGACCCCGCGTGGGAGTGAATCACGGCAGCTGCCAACACCCCAATCCCTGCAGCAAGGGAACGCTTCCCCTTTCCCACCCGGCACCCGCCGTCCTGCTGTACCCCGAGGCGGGGGGACAAGGAGGGTGACCTTCCTTCCCTCCCTGTTCTCTCCTACCCAAACAAGAAACAAGTTGCTCTGTAAACTCGGAGGGCTTTTCCTTCCTTTTTTTTTTTTTTTTTTTGGTTGCTATTTTTTTGTGGGTGTTTTTTTCCTTTGTTTATATAAAAAGAAGACACGTGGGTGAGGGATGGTGAGGGGGCCACAGCCCCCCCAGTGCCCTCCACCTCTGGCATTGATACATTCGTGTGTGATGGGGTGTTTGCACTCCGTGGAGGTAAATACTGACAGAGGAGCGAATGGGGGCTGCTGGGGACGAGGTCAGTCTGTCCGTCCACAAGCCCCAGGGAGGG